GAGGAGGTATAAGCGTAGGACTAGGGGAGAGGGTATAAACACGAGAAACATTCGCTTGAACTTGGATACGAGATTGGCGTCAGATTCGACTTCATCTGTCTCGCTTTCGGGCTTGGTTTCATGAAACACCCCCTTCAATGCCCAGATGAACAACCTTGAAGCACAAATTGCGACGACACAGAAGGGTGCACTTGAAACGAGTAAATATCGCCATTAGGACACAGCTACGCACATTATTCTGACCCAACTTTGCGAAAACCTCCACAGCCTTGCGCTTGGCGGACCGTACGCCCTCCGACACTCCACGACAAAACTCCTCTCACAGCTTCCTTCTCCACGAACTCTCCTTCTGGAGCATAACCCGAGTTTCTTCTCTGTACGACGACATTCAGCGGCGCCGGTTACGCTTTAGGATCCTTCTGTAGCTCGAACGCGTTTGGAAAATCGAAGGGGACTTGGGCGCTTGGGACGACGAGAAGGGAACAAGCATGTTGAATGAGAGTGGATATGATATCGCGACGAGGGAGCGGGGGAAGCGAAAGTGAGTCGGTGATAGGGAATCTATCTATCTAATATAATAAAACACCTCGGGCGTCAAAGCCCCGAGACAAAGAGGCACTCTCATTGGCCAGTGATCCCTCTCACGAGGCGCCTCTCACAGGGGCGCTGCACGCCCAGCCAACCGAAGGTTGGCGGCGGGCGGCGCGTTCCTCTCATTTCTCATTCGATTTCTCTTAATTCTCTTCTGACTTCTTCTCTCAATCTCTTTTTTCAATTTTCTCTGCCCGTGCGTAGCACGGGTCACCCTCTCGTATTCAATAGAGAACCATCGCGAGATAAACAAAACTGATCACGTGGTTACATGAAACCATGTTTATCCTTGAGTGCAGCGCAAGGGGGTGACACGATTGCAAGCGCTGAGGACGACCTCTCCGGGCGCTGTGTTCGGACGCCCGAGACCCCAAACGTAGATAAGATCAATATGTGTTCAGGTGATTAGTGACCTCACCAGAGAGGCAGTCTCTTGGTATTGGGAGTAGCCAGTTAACAATGTGCACATTCTATCTTTGTTACCAGAGCACAGACTCCCTCATGTGTACGCAACGAAGCGGCAAAAAGGTATCAAAAGCTACGCCACCAAGCTATGAGGAGCTACCTAATACGGCCGTATCCAATAAATTGTGCCAGGTGCAGACAAGAATTTGTTGAATGTTATGAGCATAAGAGCATCTGCCAGCTGAGAAAGTGTGCTTGGTCAAAATTGTCGCATATTGGCTTTTCCAGTACCACTACGGCCAATCTCCAATCTCCGCAAGGGCATGTAATGAACAACAAGTAACTGCCATCAGTTGAATACTCCAGCATACCTGCTCCTTTCTGCACATAGTAACCTAAAATCGCAATAAGTTCACTTGGCAGTCCTAAGGTATCTAATTCCACGGTGGTGTTAAGTCCTATTGGCTGCTTACTATTGTCGTGGTACAACGACTGGGCTGCGTGAGCGCGAACTGGTGGGAGCACGTAGGCACGATCTAATACACATGATTGTTAGTCTGAGTGCGAAGGGAAAGAGCACACTGTATAGCTATATACCTAATACACACGGTGTTAGCTAGACAGGGGTCCGGTAAGCATACTACATAATGCAAGGGCGACGAAGGGACTTACTCTGAGTGCAAAGAGAAAGAGCACATAGAGTGGGGACATGGGGAGGAGTCCTTATATATGCTAAAGAAGCAAAATTAAAAGCCTGCTAGAATGGGGAAGCCTGTCATAAAGAGGTCCGTGTGTGGGAGCACTACATATGATCGTCCAATCACTATCTACATATTAGCAGCGCCTAATCTAAAATGTCCACCTTAAGTCCATGCCAGGTGGAACGCCGAGCCAGAGCCACTAGGCGCTTCAACACTTACTAGTAAGTACTGCTGTAAACCATGACCACTGATTAATGTGAGTGGCTCTAACTTAAGTTTCAAATAGAATGCCAATATATAAACTAATTGTCTACTGTATACAATATTTACTATGGTGGGGAGCAGATGCAGAGGATACAGTGTGCGACGTGCATTGTGCTCAGCGCATGGCGGTCCAGTGCTGTGCCGGTCAGTGACTGGTCAATGACTGGTCAATGACTGAGTCAGACATGACCATGACTGACCGGTGTTCTGGGTCCCACCCCGGCAGCCAATCGCGTAGCAGAATGCCATCAGGCTCTTCTGCCCTTTCACAGTCTGCCGCCGCGCGTTGTCAAGTAGCGAATGTACAATATACCCATAAGTTACCAGATAGCTAGCTATAAAGGATACGAGTCTGGGTCATAATCTCCATCTGCATCCATGTCAACAATGCTATAAGCCTCAAGTTCCTCGTCTAAGCTCCGAATACCCCACTTTTCCACCATTGTCATCCAGAAACGGTCCTGATAATTGAAGAGTTGTGCGAGAGGCAGCTTGTATGGCTCGCCATAGAATGCCAGAGTGATTGGTACATGGTCTTCCTCTGTAAGGTCCTCCTCCACTTGGGCATCTTGCATTAGGCCCTGTGCAATGGTGTTCAGAGAGCCGATGTGACGGAGTGTGACGGAGCGTTCTGCATCGTGTTCTGCATCGCTGTCTGCATCGTTCACTTCGCGTGGTGTGATATGTGGTAGCACGTTGGCTGGCATAGCTGGTGGCGCCAGTGCTAGAGAAGATGAAGAGAGTGGTAGTGGGACTGTAGAGCTGGTGGCAGGAGAAGTGGGCATGAGTGATTGTGATGAGGGAGCGACAGCTAAAACATCAATGTAGAGCTGGTGCCTACGTTTGGCACAATCGACTCGTGTGCCCGAGGCTTCCTGCTCACAATGAATGTGAGTATTAAGCTCTGCTTAATTGGTGAGATTGTCTGCCGTGAGCGTCCAGAAGTGAGGATAAGCTTGAGTAGGCTGAAATATCTCTCTGCTTCGCCATTATTGGGACATATCGGCAGGATCAGCTCGGCAACCTGCTCCAGTGGACAGAGCTGAGTACCACGCCTGATATCCCTCCAAACTTGCAAAGGATCGTCTCCCGAGAGCTGGTCCTGGTAGCAATATAAATTAGCTAAGCTGAATTCAATTGCAGGAAACAATAGAACATGGCTTACTGAGTAGGTTGCTGCTTCTGTGCTGCTAGCTGCTTGTCTAGTAGTCCAAAGACTGGCCATACCCTTGAATTGCCCAGTGTCCTCTAAATATGACCAAAGATTTTGCTCCAAAGCAAGAGGAAGAGCTGTAGCAGCAGGAAAAAGTTGTAGATAGACATGCTGCATCAGCATAAAAATATCTGCAAAGCTGAACTCCCCAGGGTTAAATGAACGGAACTTTAACCCAGGATGAAGAATAATAGCAGCAATGAAGATATCCTGATCTGCAGCCTTCCAGCACTTTTCGACACTGGAAATAATAGTCCTGCAGGCCGTGTCATTGTCTGCGTCAGCTCCTTCTACTGAGCGAAGGGAGTTAAAGTGATGATACAGCATGCCAAAGACTAGAGGGACATGATCAAGGCGGATTGATGATGCCTGAAGGATGTTTGCAGCTTGTGCAAGCAGTCCAAGATGGCTTTTCGCACTAAATTCAAAGATTAGAAAAATTCTAAAACAAACAAGTACTCAGAGCCCGATCGTGCCAGAGAGTGCCAAAAGTAGCCTGTTTCTATAAGCTTGATCATTTGTTCTGCTTTTGCCCTTGCCTCAGGTTTGCCAGTAATGAGCAGACTTTCAGAGCAGTTCTCGTCCTCTTTCAAAAGGATTTGAAAATTGTTCTGGACTTCCAGAAGACGGCAATATGCAAGATAGTGTGTGATCCAACAAGTGATGACAGCTTGTATAATGGTAAGAGTTCTATGGCGTGTGTGCAGTTGAACTTCCTGTAGCAGGCCAAAAACGTGGGGGTGGCTACGAAACCATGTGATGAGCTGATTGGCCATTCTTGCCTGTGCCAAAAATTGTGCCCCGCATTTGTTCAGATAATCCCCAACAATGAGATTAATCTGGTGAGCATAGCAGGGAAAGCACAGAATTCCTGGAAACTCCACAGCAATGGTGTTGCGAGCAGATAAAGACTTGCCACTATTATCTGTGACAAAGGCTATAAGGCGTGCTCTCCAGCTAGCTGATGTGTTGTTGGTGACTTCCTGAATCACAGCTCGGATATGAACTAGTAGTAGTTCCACAGTCTTGCGCTCTGCTGTAGTGTCTTTGAGAGAAACTGGAAGAGACTGCAAAGAAAAGTCAGCTTCATATATGAGTAGCTTATAAATATAGAGTACTTGTTGCTTCGCAGTCATTGAGAACTCTTGGAAGTGGTGGAAATTTGAAGCTGACCAGCCATCAGTATGAAGTGTTACAACCCTGCCCACAACTTTGGCACGTGATTCTGCTCTGAGGACACTCAAGGCTGATAGAATGAGGCGGTCTGTAAGTGTCTTCCGAGAGAAGGGGCATGCGCCAGGAACAAACTCAGAAAGGAATCACATCCACTCTGGATCTTCAACCCATGAATGGGGAAGATTTGCAGATGCTGTAAGGTGAGCTAACAAGGTTTCAAATTGCTGCTGATGCTGAGGCAACCAAATCTCAGCTGCAAGGCTTGGTGAGTCAGATAGATGCGGTGAAGGTACAAGCAAATATTGTGAAAGTGAGTGCCGTAGACGTTTGCTACCAGCAAGTGGATAGAGACCATACGCTAGCTCTGGAGTGGAAACAGTAGATGAACTTGCAAATGGAAGGTCTTGAAGTCCAGAGATGGTACTGAGCAGAGACGGCGCAGTGACTATAGTAATATTTCTGATTAAATAAATACAAAATTCAAGCAATACAGCAGAGCACGTACCTCCAGTTGATACAGGAATACCATAACCACTTGATGCAGATTGTCTGAGATTATATGGTGAGGGCAAGATGGAGGGTAACATCAGCTGTGCGGCGCCAACTGGCTGCAGCATAGCAAGAGGCCACGGATTCAGCACAAAATGTGCAGCAGAAGAGGGATCAGCCACTCCAAACTTGGCTGTGAGTGCCGTTGATAGTCCTGGTTGTCCAGCATGGGTAGGAGGTGGGAGGGGATATGAATAATGGCCCAGTGTAGCTGTGGGATAGGCACTACCAACAGCTAGCGGTGCCACCGCCACAGGCATGGCCATCAGATGCGCGCCGGCATCTTTGGTTGTCCTGGCTTGCTGTCGGACTGATGGATCTTGCTCACCGTAGTTCTCGAGGTGCATCAGCAATGTATTCTTGGCTGCCGCAAGCCAAAGATGGGACCCGCGAGGGTTTGTCAGCGTGTTGCCGGCCCACACTAGTAGATATGGGCCAGTAGTTAGTTTGTGCTAAGGCTAGAGTAGTCCCAATATGCACTTGGTGCTGCTATCTCCTCTTCAGAGCGTACATTATGCTCGTCCCGCAGCCCTTGCATGACCTGCTCTTGGTCTACATCCTTCTCCCTTCTCATATGCTTCTCATAGCACTTCTGGCACCACACTTTCGGCTTATCCTTCTTTTCAGGGTTGCTAAAAGCATCGGAATGCTTCTGGGCTAGCAGAGGGTGGTCTATGAAGAATTCTCGCCACCATCCGCAAGTATGAGCCCCTGGACGGCTTGGGGGATTTGGTACTGCTCCAGCTGGGTTACTAGGGTGCATGACCAGATGGAGATTGCCCAGGTGAAAGGCCAAAGGCACAGCAGGAGAGAATGGTTTTAATCAAAAGCTAGTAGTATGTGTGTACACAGCAGGGCTCAATATTCTAATAGTACCCTACAGCCGTGCGTTATCAATAGCTGCTACTGCTTTGTGTGAGTGTGGTTCCCACTTTGTTGAGTGCTCAATACCAGCATCTTGCTCACGCGAGACCCATGAAACCGCCTGGTCATTGACCCATCAATGACCAGCTGCTAGTCAATGACCGTGACTGGGATGACTCAGTTATTGACTGCCCAACACTGCGGCGGTCTGCGTTCTCCGGGGTCCTCTCGCTCAGATGCTACACCCCCCGACAAGGCCGTCCCCAGTGCTCATCAGCAAAAAAATTGGCAGCTTACCTAGCCTGAACAGCCCTGGCAAAGCTAATCTCACTTATAAAGATAATCATTATGAGAATAGGCTTGCCAAGGTAGATATCTCACCTGTATGATAACTAAAGCTTACCAGTCTGGGGACCTTTATCATTTGGATAAGGTTGGTAATGCATTACCAGGGAGCGCCAGGCTGGCAGCACTTGCCTGAGCACTTTCAATAATTCATTGGATAATCGAAAATACTCAGGACTAATTTGCACATCGAAATTAGGAGCGGCAAGAAATATATTCATAGAGGTTTATAGAATACAAAGTAGATGTATTGCATAAAATGGCAGTATCGAGATGAGAATGCCCTCCGAGTTGCGTCACATGTAAACATGCTATCAGTCAACAAGCGGCTCCTGGTGCAACGGCTACATAGTTGGTGCACGACGCGCATAAAGCAAACTCTGAACAAGTCGTGTGCATAAGTACTCATGTACGCAACTACCTGCAGATTGCCATGCTTACCGCGAGGGCTTTGTGTGAGTCCTGGAGCATGAGAGAGTGGGCCATATACAGCTACTAAGAATGGCGTTAGTATGCGAGTGAAACTATAGGGTAGAAGTACAATACAAATAGGTTTAGCTTGCTGAGTGAGCAAGAATGTCTTACAAGGGCCTATGCATGTCAGTTATAAGCAATTGAGCGGATATATGCATGTCATGTATCATATGCAAAGGTCTACGAGTGACAAAAAGAGCCTGAGTCTGAGGCATGCTTTAGATAGGACAGTATCAACAGACCTTGTGTATTCGCACTGTTCTCCTGTATTACAGGACTCTTGCATAGCCGTGCAGACAGGTGGAAGTTGGTGCTGCGGCTGCCATGCATATGGGTAGTCAACTGCAGTGCTAACGCGAGAGAAATTACCGCTCACGCACCTTGGGACATACTGTGCTGAGTGAGCATGGAGTGGAGTCACTGTTGAGCGAGGGGAAAGTAGAAGTGGGGATAAGGATCTCAGAGGATCATGGCGTCCAGAGGTGGCTGTCTATTGAGCGGGAGCATGGTGGTGGACAGAAGGAAGGAGCATGGAAAGCAGATGGCCTTTGACGGCCTTATATGAACGAAAACATAAAAGGAAACTCACCAGAGCAACTTTAGGGGAGGTTAAAGGAGACTTTGTTGTTTGTTTGGCCAGTCAACATAGATGTAACAGTCAGCAGCACCTCTCAAAAGGCAGCACGCATGACGTCACGTCACAGCGGAGATCTGGGTGGGCTGACCGCGTCATGTCTAGTTAAAACAGGATGGGAAATGATTTACAATGACATATCGGTCCGTGTTGAAACTGCAGTGCAATATCAGCCTGGTATCCCCTGTTCTTGCATTGCCAGCACTCACCAGGCTGTTAGGCGCTTGCCTGGTAACCCATCTCTGACTTGCCACCAATTATTTTGCTGATGCTTGCAATCGCACCACCTCCTTGGTGCAGCGTAGGCTCGATACCAGCCTCCAACTAAAATTGTCGCAAATTTCCGTTTACCCTCATGAGGGAGATGCCCCAAGACTGCATCAAAATTGTATCAAAATTACCTCACGAGGGAATCATGAGGCTCTCATGAGGCAAATTTCATGTCGTGATGCACATCACAATGCCCTAACAAGGCTTGTGAGAGAAAAGATCGCTATTGATGCATCATGATTTTGGGAAAAAAAATTGCA